GTATGACCATGTTCAAGAAGGATTATCTCCTAACATTTCACCCACATCTATGGCAGGCATCCTCAGAGGTTAAGGGATCTGATTCATCAACCTCTGAGGATGCCTGCCATAGATGTGGGCAAAACATCAGAAGGGAATGCTTCTGGAACATGGCCATACAGCCCGGAAAATTCACAGCAGCCCAGTTCTGAGAGACCTCAAAGACCAGTGGCCAAGGAGTTGAAGAAGAATATCACTCCATCACCATTTGAATTTGCTTCTCCAGAAGGGAATGGATCCATTGTGAATCAATGCCTACAATTACCATACTAAAGATGCAGTCCAGAAGTATGACACGGTCAGTGGTATCAAAGCCACTGAGACGTCCAGAAGAACAAACAGGGACACTTTAGCTCTCAGGATTTATTGTCCAATAAGCTATTTCTATACCATAACAAGGCCTGAAACTAGATTGACACAGATCAAATGATCACTGTTATCCATGAATCTTTGCAGTTGGGAGGCAACTACACATTCTAGTACATTTCCCAAATATGGAATGCTGGACACTGACCAATAGTTATCCATTACAAAGAGAACCTGGGAAGCCTCTTCTTTCCAACAAAGGCCTTACCACCGTCTCTTTTTGGCATTTTGGAACCTGGCCTTTATTCATCAGGAAACTCCTCTCTGGACTATTTAATAAACTAGAGAAGGGAAAGATGTAGTGCACAGGTGTCAAACCGGTGGCCCTCCAGATGTTTAGGCTTCAACTCCCAGAAGCCCCGGCCAGCCTACTAGCTGTTAGGAATTGTGGGAGCTGAAGTCCAAATCTGGAGGAGCACAGTTTGAGAAACTCTCATCTAGTGGATAAGTTTTGGCTACCACCTTTCCAAGGACCCTGTCAACATCCTCTGGCAATACAAGAATCTGTTATTATCAGACAAGCAGTTACTAAGGTTACATTCTATGGGGTTGTATCAACTATATCAAGTCTCTTCAACTTGTGGCCCTCCAGGTGTTCGTGCCTCTCAGAAGCCTTAGCCAGCTTGGCCAATGATCAGGAATGTTGGGAATGGAAGTCTAATACATCTGGAGGTCCACAGGTCTAAGACGCCTGAACTATATCATCCTTGTCAGAACAGATCTTAGTCAACAAGGCTGTTGACTAGGCTTCATTTTCTTCTCAAGGCCCTTCCACACAGCTATATAACCCCGAATATCAAGACAGAAAATCCCACAATATCTGCTTTGAACTTGGTTATCTGAGTCCACACTGCCATATATTCCAGTTCAAAGCAGAAAATGTGGGATTTTATTCAGTTGTGTGGAAGGAGTCTCAGAGGCCAGAATATAACAAACCTCTTGGAACAGCTCTGCTGGATGACTCCTTACAGATGCAATAGTTGTAGACAATAGCATTTTTTGGCTGCTCAAACTACCACAAAGTATGCCTTCAAGTAAACATTAGCTCATGTTTGGTCAGATATTAACAGAATAACATCGAATATTCCTTTGTACATCTTACAGAAATTGATGACAATTAGAAGACATGTAGATAGTATCTTCAGGCTGAATGAGTTCAGGATTTAAATGGCTTTTCGCAAATAGGGAAAGTAGCTGTTAGCCGAAATACTACACAAAGCCCTATAAGATAAATGGGGCCAACTGTGTACCTTTCCTAGAAAACCCATGAAAACTGAGCAATTAGTAATACATTATTCTGGTAAAGAAAATTACTGTTTCTGGCAATGGTTCTCCATAGGATTTCTATCTAGAAACACTCACAAAAGAACAACTCTAGCTTTAGCTTATAGAAAACATAAAATTATGTCCCCTTAAAGTTTTCCCTTTATTTTAATAAAAATTTTAATAAAATATTCACTGAATAGTGTATGAACATCCATGAATCAGTGAGTTCCAAATGCAGCATCCTACTGTAAGAATAAGCAGTAGGATGCTGCATTTGGAACTCACTGATTCATGGATGTTCATACACTATTCAGTGAATATTTTATTAAAATTTTTATAGGTATGAGTAAAGAAACGTGGAACATTTCAGGAGAAAATGCCTCTAGACCATGAACATTTAGCCCGGAAAAACCTACAACAACCCAAACATGGAATAGTTTTCATTTCTGATATATTTTCACCTTGAGTTATATTTTATAAGGACAGAACAGAAATCAAATACATCTAGGATCAGCATGCTTATTTTTACAAACTGATTATGTATTTTGAGCAAACACTAGAAAAGTGAAAGCTAGGAATAATTCTGGAATAGTTGATATATGATAGCTAGTCCAGATTAGAACAACAAATATTTGCATTTGGGAAGTGGGGGGGGGGTATAACAATGCAACCGAGTAGTAGAGATTTTAAATTAAATTTCTTTGACAGGGAAAATATTTAAAATAATCCCAACGCTGCTCAGCCAAATTATAACGATGACACCACCACTACAGCAGACTAGCTCACCAACATATAGAGCTCACAAAAGGTAGAGGGAGTATGGTTGCTGAGCCAACTGTCTATTAAAAAGTTAGGAACTGGGAACCACTGGAACTGAGAGACTTAAAAATGATTCTTCAAAAGGTTTCCACTGCCACCATATTAATAATAAACAGGCTGAGGTATTATTGAGAGTTTGATCTGTGAACACACACTGTGCCACTATAGTTTTCTTAGAGGCTCTTAAAAGCTGACTTGAATAATGCTTTGACCACAAAGGTATTCACACCGAGGCTGGTATAAGTTGATAAGAATAACAAGAACGTTTATTGAACAGGCTTGAATAATTCAGGCACAAAAGCTTAATGGCTTCAGTAAAAAACTGGAATAAAAAGCTTGTGGTTGCGTTTGAGTAAAGATCTTTAAAACTTCTGGGTTATAAGTCTTAAAGCTTACAACACAGAAAATTACTTCAGGAAATGAGTCTCTGAAAGTAACTCCCCAAAAAACCCCTTAGGAATCTATCCAAAACCCTGAACTAGACTTCCTTAGGAAATGAACAGACCACTAATGGGATTCTGCTCCACACAGTATTCTAGCTATCTTCAATAGCTACTCTGTATACTTTAAAAAGACTGACCCAAACTTCTTCTTCAAAACCCCAAACTGCAACTGGCAAACTGGGACCTCAAACCTCAATTTAAAAGACACTTTTTCCTTCTGATCATTTAGTCTCTGCCCCCATCTTTCTGACCAATCCTAGCCTTCTAATTTTCCCTCCTAGACTTGAACGCACCCCCTTAAGGCAAACCTAACCTAAGATGGCTTCTCCCTGTTTCCCTTTCCTAAAATGGATGCCATGGCTTCGCCAGGCCCACTTCCTTAGGCTTTTGCCAGCTAGCTAAGGCAAGGGATTCATTACAGGGGGCTATTCAAAACCATCGCATACTATCACCATTATTCTGAGTGAGAACCCATCTCCTAAATACAAGGAATTATCATTTATTTTTTTTCAATTTGTAGTCATTTTTAATTTTTTGGCACCTTCAGAAGTCATGTCTCAGTATTAGGACTATATTCTGATTACATTTACATTAGATATTGAATATCTGTGAAATCATAGGAAAGTTCTTGGCTTTAAGCCATATATTTGGTTTGTTGGAACCTCAGTGGCTTTTTCTTATGGTAGTAGCTATTGTCCCCTGAGAAATTTTTCATTTTACTTTTTGCCATGTTTTATGCTATATAGTTTGTACTTTATTTTTTGCAATCCTGGTATGGCTTTGCACTTTATACCTATTTCCTAAGGTCTGACTTTACCTATATATCATGCCCTTTTTATCCATGTCTTGTAAATGAACCCATCTCCTAAATTTGTTTTACTTCTTATTCTGGGATTTGCGTTTGGCACTAAATTAAGCTCTTACCTTTTGTTGAGTGTTATTAAGATTATTTTAGGCACATCCTGCCTATCTCTTGGTTTCTTCTGATCATGGGTCAATGAACGGACATGATATTCTTTACTTTGGCATGGGTTGTCATCAACGTGGAGACTGTCACCTTTACCCTATTCACACAACCTCTTTTATTGGCTAGGAGCTCATGGTATGCAGAACTAGCAGGTTCTTTTCTAACAATGGTAAGCTGCAGATCTCCAAATGTTTTGGATTTAAATTCCCATTCATCTCAGTCAACAGTCAATGATAAAGGATGGTGGAAGTTGTAGTTCAACATCTGGTGCACCAATTTCCCTTCACCATGCCTTTGTATATGATCATAAGAGAGCAGCACTTATGAAGTATAAAAAAGTGGCATTTTCATATTGTAATAATGCAAGTACCCTGTGCAAGAACTATTAAGCATCATATTCACACAAAGACCATGTATTGCCATGCAGAATGTCCCAAATTCAATCTCCAGGTGGGATCGGAAAAATCCATCAGAAACTGTAGTGGGGCACTCTCAATATGTGTAGACAACGCTGAGCTACATGACTCAGGCTGGATCTACACTGCCATACAATGTAGTTTGAACTACATTATATGGCAGTATAGATCCAACCCCAGAAGTCTTGCTCTGTGTAAAGAAATGTGTGTTGTCCATGTGCTGCTGCATGTCATTCAATGCTAGCCCTATTTTTCCTTGGGCTTTGCAGTCTTTCGGCAATCTTTTAGGCATAGTGGAAAGTCTGGAGGGCTAAACCACAACCTACCTGGGGCTATGAAGCACTGTGTTTGAGGCTAAACCAAAAAGTCTACATCTGGTTTGTACATCTTGAATTTAAAGCCAGTTTTGAGTAGTTCACTTGATAGGGGTGAAAAGGCAGAATGCAATTTCTGGGTCTGGGGACAATTTGGGGAGATTCCACACACAATTTTAAAGCAAAGCATGGGGTAGGGAGAATATTAGGGACTTTGGAGGATGTGTCATAGGGGCTGTAGTATTTCCACCTCCCTCCTAGATAGTTGTAAAAAGGAAAGTGGTAATGTTAACTATGATGCTGATGAGCTAAGCAAATCTTGGCTTAATTCTAGAACCCAAAGCGAATTTAACAAATCAGCCAGCAAAGATAACACAAGCATAATTTTATTTGAGCATTTGTTTGTATTAACACAGTTTATATCACGCCAGCAGTTTTTTCTTAGCCAAATCCAATTAGCCAACATATTTTTTTTAAAGAAAAAAAATCATTACTGGAAAGAAGCAGCATTTAGTGCAAAGAATCAGAAAACACATCATGTCAACTGTCTTTTGGATAGTTTTACATGTGCAGTGAAGCCCTTCTATTCCAATCCATTTCATGGGAAAATTTAAAGTGTCAATCTGTCTTTTTAAAATTGCTACTTAGCATGGAAGTGGGAAAAGGTGAATTTTAATACTGTATATTATAATGATAACTATATATAACTAAGGAATATCAATGAATCTAAAGTGGGTTGTTGTGAGTTTTTCTGGCTGCATGGCCATTTCCAGAAGCATTCTCTTCTGACGTTTTGCCTGCATGTATGGCAGATATCCTCAGAGGTTGTAAGGTATATGATATATAAACCCCATTTTTCTGGTTTCCAACAGAACTCACAACCTCTGAGGATGCCGGCATAGATGCAGGCAAAAGGTCAGGAAAAACTGCTTCTGGAACATGGCCATACAGCCCAGAAAACTCACAACCACCGAGTGATTCCAGCCATGAAAGCTTTTGACAATACCAAGTATCTAAACATTTCAATTAAAAGAAGCAATGGAAAAGGCAGTGAAAGATATTCAATTTATACAATTTTGCTATTTTTAACAAGTGTTTGCATTTCCCTCAACAAGTGGCCTAAACAACATTTTAAACATCCAGCCCTCCTTTAACATGTTACTGGTGTTGATGCTAAAAATCAGCTAAACAGAGTAAATAGGGTTGCTAAAAAGTCTGTAAAAAGGACTTCTATGTCAGAGGCTTTGTTGTCCAAGTGTATATCCCCCCTCCCCATACACAAATCAAATTATTCTTGTTTTTGTAGCAGTAGTTTGTTTTTCTTTCTTAATTTTCTTCTTCACAAAACAAATGCCTATGTTTGTGTGTGTGTGTGTGTTTAAAAAAACAAGTCAAGCCATCTTGATTTGGGTTACAAACAAAAACAAAATCATCAGGTGGATTGTCCTTTTTGAGTGTAACAACTGTGGGCATTCCATAATCTAGATATGAAGGAGTTGTAATTTCTTACCAGGCTGGAGGAAAATTGTTTCCACTTACCTAAGATGATTGCTATTACTTTCAAGTTATAAGCACTGAATGAACCCAGAACAATATATCCAGCCTCTTTCAGAAAAATAATACACTTGAAGGCATTTTTGCTTCAATGAATTTACTCTAGTGCAGAATAACAATAGTATTAGGTCATATGTATACAACATATAAATGTACGTATACACATAGTGACATCAAAATTGTAAGTCTTTTAGAATCCAATTCTTGAAAAACTGTTTATTGTTTTTTGAATAAACTGCCAGTTTATAAATGAAAGACATAAAGGATGCTATCTATGAGACAACCAACATAGGGAAATGATTGAATATACATGCAGCCTAGTTGTGTGCCTTGAACTTTAAGGCAAGGGATTTGTGTGCTCTTTCTATGAATATTCTTAATCTAATTCAAGGAAAAGATTAAAGAGTATTGTATATTTGAATTAGGACCTCAAAATAGACAGGTTTAAATAAACGATGATTCCCTTTTCCCTTGTGATCAAATATCAGATTTGAATGAAGTTTGCTCTTTCCACAAGCAATCTTTAAACTTAGTTTAACAATACAGAGATTCAAATAGTTTATTAGGTAGATTCATAGATAATATAATTCAGGAATTACAAACTGTTAGCATAGCAGAACCCAAGGTGTCAAGACAAATCCCTGTATTTCACACAATGCTATGCCGTACTGCAGAATTCAAAGCAAATTGTGCAAAGAGAACTGGACTTTTCACAATACAGCAGGCTCACTTTGTGATGATGGCAAAAAGTCCTTATTGTGCTAGTGGGGAATGGCAGGGAAATATAACATGTTCCCCTCCCTTCCTCTTAAACCTTCTATGGCACCAAAAACTGTCACCAGATGTCTTCACAGCCTTCTAAAACAGATTTTTGGGAGTGCATAGCACACTGTAATGGAGAAAGAAAATCATTTCTCTTATTGGATTTAGACCTAAATTTGGGGGAAGAGCCAGCATAAGTCATCCTTTTACTATTAGAAAACAGAACAGGCAAATGGAAAGCAGCTCCTTTGGGGTTTTACGTTAAAACAATTGTAAAAGTTTTTAAACAATGTTGAATTTTAATTTTCAATCTCCCCAAACTATACAAGGAAAGATGCATTTCTGAACTATTTTAAGGATTTTCTTATAAGTGAATGATCAACCAAGACACAGGAAGATTTTACAAAAATATAATTTCACACCATGTGCAGAAGCAGACTGGGTAGGGGGGAGGGTTTACAAAGGCAATCATCTACGGGATATTCAACATGCGTATGCAAATATAGTGTACGTATGGGCTTTAGGGTTAGTCACATCCATAAGGGTGGACTCAACTGATTGTAATAAACACTTTTGTTTACAGACATGCACAAAATATCAAATACAAAATGCACAAGACTCTCGGGGGCACAATCCAATAGAAACTTCCGCTGCACAGACTACATTGAAATGGAGAGGACATGTCCTGTTCATGTAGATGATTCTCAGGAAGGAGAAGCTTCCTGCACATTGTTTCCTAAGTCACTTGTCTCATCTTCCCTTTTAAATTTCACTCTGGGAATATTAGTTAAAAAGACGTGTAACCAATAGAAATAATTTTAATACATATTTCAGGATCTTGAAGGTTTGGGAGAACAGTGCAAGCCAGTTTCAAGATGTGTAACATTAACAGTATTTTTGTAACATGCCATATCTCCCTATTTGTAATACATATAACAGAGGCTAACTGATTAGAATGATAGCACGTTAGCCACTAGAAAATGCTTGAATCAATGGTGTATGAAACATGCAGTAGTTTGCAAATCTGTAGGTAGGAAGATGAGACATTTCTACTTGAAAAGTCTGCAGGAGAAATCTGTGGTTCTCAGGCATTATTGTACTCCAACACCTATGAGTCCTCATAGGGACAATCAATGATGATAGCAGTCATAGACTAACGCCTGGAGGTCTACAGGGTCCTCTCCATTATTTTACTGGCTAAGATTGACCTGTACTGACAACTAATGAAACCTTAGGTTAGGTCATTCCCTTTAAGGACTGGTCTTGACTCATGTTCATCCAGAAGTGGCAAACACACAGCAATGTGACTGCCCTGCCCCTGCGTTTGATTGTGAATTAATCTGCCCATGGTCAAGGATGAAACCTGTCCTCTGGCTTGTACTCCTAACTTGCTTCCTTTGCCTACTAATTCAAGAGCAATTGCAACAGCCTCCAATGCTATCAGAGAGCTTGCCACAAGGCAGACAACTACCAGGGTTGACAGATAATACATTGGTCCCTGGCATCATTTCAGAGGACTGCCCCTAACCCCATCACATACCTTCCTTGAATGTTTCTAAAATTAAAACTAAAATGGGCCCCCATACACCTTAAGGGACATGGAAACAATCTTGATATATTTTCAGTCCATCTGGGCTGCTTTAAACCCAAGAGAGATCTTTATTTTACTAAGAAGTGGAAGATGATTTTTTGGCCATTTTCTTTAACTTTTAAGGCTGTTTTAAAGGGACTTTTTAAGCCTACTAAAACAACAAAATTTTGGGAAAAGTCAGTAATGGAAGCAAGGTTTGAGGGTGCCTAAAAATAGCCTTGGGTTACCTGCGGCCTGTAGAATATTTTTATATACGTCTGCAGGGCAGAGCATTCACTTCTCTTCCTGAAGTGACAGAGGGCCTATTCATAATATGCAATTATAGCTTTCTTATTCCTCTCAATCTATCACGGTTCCGACCTATGAAATCCTTGAATTGGCCATTCAGGGAGAGGCATTTAGAATTTCTAAATGTCTCCCTAAAATACAAACCCTAGAATTCCATAGGATGAAACCATGGTAATTCAAGTGGAACAATAGTGCTCTAACTGTGTAGTGTGAATGGGCCCGGGAAGTAAGCTGCTGCAATTTTGCCAGTTCAGATGATGGCAATGGGCACCTGATAACACCAGATCAACACATCAATTTTAGAATAAAATTCACCATAAAAAAGAACACAAAAGGATCTCTTTGAGCTTTATGACATCTCATTGGGCCACAGGGCATCACTATAAAAATAAATCTGCCCTTAAATCCTTTAATGGAAGCACATTGATCATTTAACAAAAATCCACTTGTCTAAACTGAATACTGTCCAAAAAAAAAAAGGAAGGGGTTTGCAGAAACTAGAGGACCATGCTGAAAAATTAATGCTGTCTTTTTAAATTGGTATTCAAAGATCTAAAAATAATAATAAAAATGATCACATTCTAAAGGTTCAGTGCATTCAGCAGCTATAGTTCTTGCTGCTAGATCATCTAAGCTGACTTTCAAAAAAATAACACCCTAGCTCATCAAAATATACATTTTCCATTTGCTTTTAAATTAAAATAATAATAAAAAACATTTAAAGAATCCACAAATCGATAGCATGACTACGTTTCAGGATAATCTACAGCATATAATTTAAAGTTTCAAGATGCCAAAACAAAGCATGTGGCGAGTCTACACACTTCATGTGGCAAGGGAGGCATGGAGATCTTGAGCTTCAGACTTCACTCCTCTTCTTCCAAATAGTATAAAATACCCATCTGCAACAACTGTCAAGGAATCAAGTAAGTGTTTTGCATTTCCTCAAAAAAGCAATTCTCTAACAGCAGGTAGAAAACAGCATGCCAGAGTTTCTCGGGTAAAAGAAATATAGAATAAAACAAATACATATTAACATTATTTGAAAATAACACTCTTATTCTTTTTATTCAAATTCCAACATTTTCTTTAAAAAAAACTGCAAATGCATTTTGAATTTAAATGTTATTTCATCACAAAATATTGGTGGGGAATTATTCCCTAATGTTTACTTGAGGTTATTTGTTTTTTTAAAAAAAGTATTTGCAAATCAACTGCTGAACTTCAATTGAAGGTTATTTCTGCAAGCAGAATGTAAAAAGAGGAAATGTAATAAAAACAATGCATTTGTGAACATTTCCAAGGCTGCTACATGAAGCATAGACTTCATGTTGCAGGGATAGAACAATCCAAAACTCCCGACTCTAAAGGTAAGCAATGACTCACATTATCCAATTTTAGATTAGAACATGGGAGTCATAGAGGTCTGGAACCCAGACCCAGAGAGAATCAGATCTGAGAACGAAAAGTTGTCCTCGGACCAAATTCTGCCCACCTCTGCGAATGAATAAATAATAATAAAAATAAAACTTTATTTATACCCCTCCACCATCTCCCTGAAGGGACTCAGGACAGCTCACAAAAGCACCCAAAGGTGTAAACACACAAAATTCAACAGGTGCATAAACAATATCACAATGAGAAGAACAGACCACATAAAATCATAAAACCCCATTAGTTAAAATCAATAAAATGCAACAGTAGCTGCAGATATAAACAATTTGCATTCTATATCAGACCATAAAGTGTGAAGTGGAATAGTCATTCAGTCCTCAAGTATAATAATTAAGGATTACTAGACAAGGTCAAAGGGCTGTTTGAAGAGCCATGTCTTCAAATTGGTTCAAAACACTTGGAGAGTAGGGGTTAATTTAATTTCTTTGGGGAGGGCATTCCAAAATCAGGGGGCTACCACTGAGAAGACCTCTCTCTCATCCCCACCAACTGCACTTGAGACAGAGGTGGGACCGAGAGGAGGTCCTTCCTGGCAGATCTCAGAGCCCACGCCAGCTCATAGAAGGAAATGCGGTCTCGAAGTCAGGCTGGACCTGAAGCAAATAGGTTAAATAAATAAACAAATATGTTAGAGCATAACATTAGGTGACAGATTTAATCCATGGCCCATTATATCCAATTTCAACCACTTTAGGTTCTTGTGGGTTTTTTCGGGCTATAGAGCCATGTTCTAGAGGCATTTCTCCTGACGTTTCGCCTGCATCTATGGCAAGCATCCTCAGAGGTCTAGGCGGTCATAGATCCGATGAGCCTGTGGTGTTTTGAAAGTCCTTTTGGCTGCGAGAAATTGTGGGATGGTATCTGTGTCTCTGCAGCGTAGAAGGAAAGTCAGGGAGCACAGTAGATGTGCTTTCTGGTCCTTAGTTTCTCCAATTTCCTTGTGTCTTGGAACAGTTTCTCCCTGTAGAGATGTTCAATGTCAGAAGAATGACACGCAAATTCGTGAAGCGTTCCATATTTTTGTACTGTACACCGCCATGAGTCGCCCGTAAGGGCTGAGAACGGCGGTTAATAAGTGCATCAAATAAATAAATAAATAAATAAGAAACGTCAGGAGAAATGCCTCTAGAACATGGCTCTATAGCCTGAAAAAACCCACAAGAACCTAGTGATTCCAGCCATGAAAGCCTTCGACAATACATTCAACCACTTTGTTAAATCTACTGTATCTCCTGATTTCTGCCCCTTCTGGTAGAATTCAGCCATATCGAAAGTGGCTTTGAAGGTGATGATGAGTTCTACTGATGTCCTGGAATTTTGTATTTGATATTTATGTGACTGCTTTATAATGTTAGTGTAATACATATATTTTATTAGCCAAGGATACAGTTCCATGTATGAGGGAACACATACAACTTCCTTTGAGAATTCCACAGGACAAGACAGTCTGCCAAGCTGTTCTTCATAGAGAGTCAAGGCTTCAGTCAGATTGACACAATTTCCCTAACAAATGCATTGGGACAAATTGATTAACAAATAGAACATATTAATAAACACATGTGTTCATATTAATTAATTAAATATATTAAAACAGCCAATAATCACTTCTGCTCCTTTTATTATCTATAAGAACCCCAGAAAAATAAACATATTATTGGGGAGGCATTTGAAGATTGCAGTAGAGATATGTTGTCATAATTCAGGCATAATAAACCATGTACTGTAAACAATTTTATCCAAGAACAAGTATTACCAAATTGAGTATCAGGGCAATACAACCATCCTTATATATCCATGGATATTTAATCCACGGATTCGATCATTTACAACTTGAATATATATATATATATATATCCAAAATGTAAACGTTGATTTTGTAATTTTATATAATGTACACCATTTTACTATGCATAGTATATAATGGGACTTGAGCACCCACCAATGTAATATCCAATGGGAGTTCCTGGAACGATTGTAGCACAAATGTACTCATAGTAAGGTAAATGCACTAAAAAGACTATGCAATTTAATATACTAATACAGGGAATATAGAAACCAGAACATTAAGTGAGGAATGAATTATGAATAGCCCAGGTAACCAAAGTATTTTGGTTTAATGTTAGAATATGGGGCCCAAGTGTTTTCCCATGGATTCCACCCATTTTCATCAAAAAGAAGAAGCCCCTTGCCCCTTTGCCTTGCAGCTGCTCATTAACCCTAAATGTCTGTTTGGAGGGCTGAAAAGGTCCCTGGAAACACCTAGTTAAAAAGATATTAATGTTAAGCATTTCATAACGATTGTAAAATGCCAAGGAAAGGTTCTGGTAAAGGTAAGGAAGCTGAGCACATGAAATGTTTTAGTAATCTATTATTATCCACAATCTTGCAGTGGTTATTTGGCTCTGCTGCCTTTAACAAAGCATATAATTTAGTCAGCATCAAAATGAATGGGGTAGTGCACAAACAACCTGCATGTGTAATTTGAAAATCACAAATAGAAAACACTGCTAGGTAATTTATGGGACATCCTAGCAGCTCTGTAGCAGTTTAATAGCATGACTAAATCTGTATAATGAGGGGAATATACAGCCTAGCTCTGTAGATTGCCATACTCAATATCCCAGCGCTCATCTTCATAAATGACAAGGAACAAGAGCAGACAACCCAGCAAGCAAATTATAGGAATTAACAAAGAAAATTGTTAAGAGGCTGTATGCTACATCTACATTGTGTTCAATCCAAGAGTTCTTTCATCTTAGGCCGTCAATTATTTCACTGTGCAAAATTTCTTTTTTAAAAAATAAGAAAAGAAACCCAGTAACAATGCACATATTAGGATACTTCACTTAAAACAAATTCATTTAGGCCTCTCATATGCCTGCCTTGTGTTTAAATTTCCAAAACCATTCATAGTATATGTACCCTGATACCGGAACAAAACATTATTTATCAGCTGTGAACAAACGCTTTCAGAAGTGTAAAGAAAACAAGTGAGGTATAGTGGATACCAGGTTTTGATTCCTCACTTGGCCATAGAAACCCACTGGGAATTCTTCTACATTGTAGAATTAATACAGTTTAACACCACTTAAGTGTCATGGTTCAATGCTATGGGGTCCTGGGAGTTGTACTTTTACAAGATCTTCTGCCTTCTCTGTCCAAAAGTACTGGTGTCTCAGCAAACTGCAAATCCTAGGCTTTGAGCGATGGCAGTTAAACTGATGTTAAAGTGTGATAATTCTGCAGTGTAACTGCACTCCATATTTCAGAGGAAAGCACATGGGTACAAACACACACAAAGACAAGAATCACAACATCTGGGCCCCAGCCCACACCAAAGATAATTTCAGTATGAAAAAGAAAACTGTTGCTTTCTGAAGCTTCCAGGAGCTATTCCCTTTGCAAACTAGTAACAGCCCACTTGTGCCTTGCTCCCTCACTCATAGGATTTGCAATACAGGAGGTGGCTTTCTCCTTCCAGCTTCATTCCTGGGGGGCTAGATTCATTGTACAGTGGGCCCCAAGAGCATAAAACCAGTCCCTAGACTTCAAGGGCATGGCCGCCTTGCTTCAAATCCCTAAAAAGGGGAATTATATAAACACTTTAACAAGATTATTCATGTTTGTAAATGTGCACAAGGAAACTCACAACTGTCTCAAGAGTACACTGATCAATATTTGTTAAGTTCCCATTTTTTGAGGAGATCTGAAAAGACTATCAGGTACTATCCAGCTGCCTACATCTCACAGGTAATTCACTAGATATGCAAAATCTTCTGATTTCTCTCTCAGAGCTAAAATGTTTTATCATCAAGCTCTATCTAGTGGCCTAAGAGTATAGTGCAGGCTACCAGGATATGTGGCGATTTGTCAGGGTTCATTTTTTTCCTGTACCAACTGCTATCGGATTAATGCTATCTGCTCCCATATAGGTCAAGGTCCTTTGTCTTTAATCATTCTTTTAAAGTGTACACATGTTCTGTGTACACTTTGAACTCATATATGCTGAATCTTTTCTTGTTATCCTGAGCTGTTAACACCTCCTGTCAAAACAACTAGATTTATACATTAGAAACAAACTAAGCTAATCCAAGTTTTCAAAAGCAGCAAAAAATGTCGTTCAAAACCCTAAGTTGAGCCCTTGTCAAAGTAAAAAAAAAAGACTTTCTAATTTTGAAAAGGAATTTACAACTCATTTCTATGCCTATTTAGCAATTAAATGGGGTTTGCTTAGGTGTATACAGAACTACCGCCTTGTAGGTTATATCAGGCCCTAACCCCAAAGAGAGTATAAAATTGAGTGTTTGCTGCTGTGTTCCTTCTAGCTGTTCCCAATTTATATCCACTCTCAAGACAAATTTATCACAAGAGTTTCTTGGTAAAATTTGTTTAGAGTTTGCCATTGCAATCAATGACACAGAACTGCAGTTTCATCCCATGCCAAGTTTTCAAACTTTATGGGGCTTTTTTGTTGGTTTTTTAAATACATTACAGCTGTACCCTTGGTTCTCTCCTGATATGGTAAATAAATAACATATCCTGTTCCTTAGCTACAGTTTGCACTATCCCATTCTCTTGTCTTGTTTACAGCTTGGTCATGTCAAGAATAAAGTTGTTGTTGTTGTTGCCTTCTTCTGGAGCTGAAAGAGTGTGGTCTGTCCAAAGCCACCCAGTAGGTTTTCATGGCCAAGCAGGGTTTCGAATCCTCAAACAATACAACCATTACATCACACTGGGGCCCCATAAACTTAACAAGACAAAATGTCCAAAACAAGCCTTAAAGAAAGTTAATGTTGCTAGGTTTTTCTAAAGTCAGGAACAGGACACGGGCTTTATCAATCTGCATACTTCCACAGCTAGAAAGTGATGAGAGTCCCAGGGCTCTTCCAAACAGGCCCTATATCCCAGGATCTAATCCCAGGTTTTGTTTGTCCCATATCATCTGGCAGTGGGGACTCATATAATCCAGTTTAATGCAGAAAACCTGGGATCAGATTCTGTGATATAGGGCCTGTCTAGAAGGGCCCCTAGAGCAGAGGTCCTCAAACTAAGGCCCGGGGGCTGGATGCGGCCCTCCAAGGTCATTTATCCGGCCCTCACTCAGGGTCAGCCTAAGTCTGAAACGACTTGAAAGCACACAATAATTTATTTATTTCTCGCACTTCTACCCTGCCCTTCTCAACCCCCGAGGGGGGACTCTGGGCGGCTTACAAAAGGCACAATTTGATGCCAGCACAACAACAAGATAAAAATAAAACATACATAAACAGTAATTAAAACAGTTAAAACAATCCATTATACATCACAATCCCTAAAACCAATCTAATGCTCAACGTTTGCCAGCTCAGAGTCCGTAAATTCAATTCCACATTGTCAAATCCATCAATTCTAGTCGTCACTTGTCTTTTGTTTATCTGCCAGATTACCCGAAAGCCTGGTCCCAAATCCATGTTTTTAATTTCCTTCTAAAAGATAACAACAATCCTATTTCATCAGCCAAAAGTGGGCCCACTCTTCCCATTGAAATACTAATAAGTTTATATTTGTTAAAATTGTTCTTCATTTTAATTATTGTATTGTTTTTAAGTGTCTTTTGCACTACAAATAAGATATGTGCAATGTGCATAGGAATTTATTCATGTTTTTTTTCTTCAAATTATAATCTGGCCCTCCAACAGTTTGAGGGACTGTGACCTGGCCCTCTGTTTAAAAAGCTTGAGGACCTCTGCCCTGGAGAGTCAATATCTGTTTGAATATCTTCAGGTTCAGAACCTGAACTCAAAGTTCATATCCCACACCCCCATTCAAACAAACACATTACCCCAATTGCCTCCTGTCTGTAAAAATAGCATACAAGTCCAAGTCTTGCTCCTGAAACAAAGGAGAATCTCAATATTTTTCCCCTAGTACTATATTACTAGATGGGGAAAAATCACTTGCCATACCTGTGTGAAATATTTGCCATCAGGTTTCAAGACTTTCATGGAAAGGTCCAGAATCATCCTTAGAAACTCCCATGTGGAATCTGAAGTAGGAAGAGTTTAATTAGAAAACTACTATTCTCAAAAATGTTGGTAGTAATGGGAACAGGCATCCCGTGCAATACTGCATAGATAAGTGGTAAATAAAACAGAACTGCACCATGCAAATACATGGCATGATCTATTCCTGCATGCTTACAACACAAGGTCTGAAATTATTTTTCTCCCTACACCTACTACTCATGTACTACCCAAACCATTAATTAGTTTACACATCCCTCCTTATTTCCTTATCTCCCTTAGATGTAAGTAGCTCATTAAAAACAAGGCTTACATTTGAATTAATTTTGATTAGAACCATATCTGCATCAGACAGTTCATAGAGATGAAAAATATTAACCTTCTTCTGGAGATGTGGAGATTGGAACAGCTGTCAAGTCATTAATTACATAGTCAAACATCCTTTCCTCTTTGGCATACCTCTTCAGTACTGGAATGCAATCTTCTATTAGAACCTAGAAAAACAGACACAAACAGAAATAATTTAGATGTGCTTTCCTTGCAGAAACAACTTAATCTGTATATGTAAAATAGCCTGACAATTCCTAATGGTTGTTGCATTGTACTGAACAGCTGTATGGTTGCCTAGAAGCAAAAAAAGCTGATGCCCAATCTGCACACCACAATATTATTGATTCTAAAGATCAGCTTCATGCTCAGCGAGTTCTAGTGTGAGCTTCAATATTAACAAAGAAATGTCATCCCCAACCTCCCAACACAGAGTGGCTTTAATCCAACATTCCCTCAGCACAGCATAAAGATCCCTATGCAGAAATATGCTGCACCAGCACTATGCAACCCCATGCTGAATAGAAACATTGTGAAACATGTGAGACCCCCAAGGGCCCCCAGTCCAACCCCTTGCCACGCTGGAATGCAGAATCAAAGCACCCCAGACGGCCATCCAACCGCTGCTTTAAAACCTCCAGAAGGTGCTGTTGTGAAATATGTAATTGCAATACACAACTGCAAAAAGATAATGAACATCATTATGCAATTCCACGTGCATCATTGCCAGCAGATTGGGTCCATTATATTATGTAAAATAATTTGCCATTCATGTAGTGAGTCTCATGGACATGTGTATCACAAAAAAATGCTGATTGTACAGATTCATCCGCTGACATCTCATTTTAATTTAACAACCACTCTTTGGTGGAAATGCAGCAAGCTGTCTTATAAATGCCATGGATCCCTCTAGCTCAGTAATATCTAGAAGTTGCTCACAAGAGCTACAAGACTTTTAGCACTGACAATATTAAAGTCAAACAGACCATAGCACAAATAGAATGAATTCTTTTCAAAAACACATTGCCCAAATACTTTACACATCTTGTAAATAATAATATTCCCTGCTTTAAGGAAAACAAAATCAAATTACCTGATAGCATTCTCCTTTCAGATTGTCCAAGACATCTCCGCATGTTTTTCGCATGAATTTTCGACACCCGTCGATCACCATTTGGTCAATGTTTTTGATAATAGTTAAGAATCAAATAACTCCTTTTGTCATTGTTGTAAAATATATTTTTTTATTTCTGACGAAGTAAGGCTAGAATTTATAAAAATTGGGAGTGATTACAACTGTAAAGCTGTTCTAGTTTTTGTAGAAATTCCCCACAAGCACGGACATAATGATTTTTTTAATTCACTAAGCACAAACCAGAGTTTTTAAAGATTTTCATTTGATTATCAGCAACAGCTGTTGCTAAATTTTAAGATTCTTGCAGAACCCAATTACTAGTCACAATTTAAACAACTCACTGACTCAATAAATGGATTCACAGGTGGATTTAGGTCATAAACATAACAATACTTTACTGAAACTATTCTATTCAACAAGATTTAAGATGTACATAGCAAAATTTGAGTTAGTTCTAAGAGATGTCAGCACAAATCACTAAGAGTTATTTACCTATGCCAAGTTTTCAAAATATGAAGGACAGGATGAATTTTTTAATAGATCAGTCACTTATCAAAAGGATATCTCTACCATGGTGACCATCTTTGGTTTCAATTTGACTATTTCATACAAAATTCCCCCATCACCACCTCCAAGAATGAGGACTTCTTTGTCAGCATAGTCTTCCTTTCCACTGCCCATTATAGCTTGAGTATATGCCAGGTCACTCTCTGCCAGATCTTTAAAAAATACAGATATTAGATAGATAAGTACATTAAAAGAGGTGGATGCCAAAAAAATAATATAAATCCATAATGACTTTGAGCTATCCTGAAAATATTTACTTTTTAGGATGCGTGTGTGTGTTTGAAATGGAATCTACATTGATCAGAGCAGATATTCCGATTTGATTGAAACATCTCTTTGCGTCTCATACATCAGTTTCCAAAGGAAAAGAGAAGGAACAAGAGTAATCCCAAAGTTCTTTGGAAGTCCTCGATTAGAGATCCAAATATGCTCTCTCAATAAATATCCTGGTTTTGCCACCTACTCAAGACTCCCCAACCCATCAAAATATCGGGTGAGACATGTTTCAAAGATTTACCAAACTGTAATACTTGAAAATGGTTTAGAATATCACAACTTGTGTAGACTGCCCCTACAAAAACTGAAATTCTATGACATGAAGACTGCAGTACTCACTGACATCCCCACTGAGGATAAGAATATTTCCAAATTGTTTTGAATGTAAAATTTTAATATTCTGATAAGGTGACTCTTCATCATAGACAACTTCATCGATATCGTATTCCACCAGTCGCCCATCCGCTGTGGGCCAGTATCTGTCAATGGTATCTCCTCTCACAATGGCTGGCAACCTGTGAACAAAAAGATAAGGTATACAAAACAAGAGCAACAGTCACAGATTTAAATTTGTGTGAATCGGTAAAAGGGGTATTCTTTCTTAAACTGGAGACTTCAAAGAACTTTACTTGCATAAGTTTACCTAATAACCAATCTGTATTTTAAGCAATGTATTGTCAAAGGCTTTAATGGCGGCAATCACTGGGTTGCTGTAAGTTTTTTGGGCTTTATGGCCAGGTTCCAGAAGCAAAATGTATTTTATGCATTTTCCTGTCTGATTACTAATTCATCAATATATTTGCAGCACAAATTTAGTGGATACCCAAAAAAGCTTTCAACACAGATAAGTAACATGTTAGGTGTTTTTGAAACTAACGTTATTAAAATGCAAACATCCAAGCAAACTTATGTTTTAATTTTAGGAACACATAAGTCTGATAGCTCTGCCCAAGTTGATTTTACAAATGTAATTTCCAGATTGCTATGTAAATATGGAAATTGCTACTTTTTTGGATATGAACTGTCAAATCATTTCTAAAGAAAGGTGGATATCTGTGCTTTTGCATTACAATGCCTTCTAAAAACAAGAAAAATGATAAAATTAAAAATTCCCAGTTCCACCATCTCAGGCATTGCCATATAATCCAATTCAAAGCAGATAAGCTAGATTTTATATGGCAGTGTAGATGGGGTCTCAGCCTCATAAGAAAGCAATGGCAACCGGTCCTTTTGTGAGCCTTCATGTTGCCCGTCATCTTATGGCAACCACATGAATTCCAAGACAAGGAATATCTGAAATACCATTTTACCAATTTGCTTTAGGGTTTCCCTAAGTCAGAAATGACTTGAAAGCTCTCAGCAGCAATGATCCCACTTTTCTGATAGTTCAATAGTTCTTAAACATGATGCTTACGAGACACTAGAGGGCAGTACCTGACCATATCAAGTCCAAGGCTCAAATTATTTTACTATGAAAATTAATGTTTGGTTCTCAGCCTAATAATGATTATAATTTGGAGGCAGTAAGTACATTGTAACTGCCTCCCATTTTAGGTATTATTTATGGCTATGTGCCTCAGCATCTGCTTATTGGGCAGAAAATTACATTTGCACTCATGCCCTGCTTGTGGATTTCCCATAAGTAACGGTTTGGTCACTGTCAGTAACAAATCAAGATGAGACTGACCTTCGTCTCATCTAGCATGACTTTTCTAATTTATCTAATTTCAGGGTTCCACCCAATATCCAGATTTTCACAATATTTCCAAAGTCAATTGGAAAGGAACAAACAGGAGAGTATACACTGCACAGGAGAACAAAATGTTAAGGACACCCACAGGAAATTTTGAACCACAAGCCAAAGCTACAAATCCCATTTATATCCTTGGATGGGATCACAATTAAAGTGGAATCACAGCCTTCCAACTGGGAAGTGAAAGAACCCAAAATAATAACAATGGAGAATACCCCTATCTCTTTAAAAAAATCAGTATAACAATGGTAACACTGGGCTATTTTGCACATTCTTAGGCACAGTGCCAGCTGCACCTAACAATGTAAATACAATAAAACTGGTTTATATACCAAAATGAAGATCTTATTTACACAAGCATTTATCCCACTAGGTGTATATTATCACTGCTACATTTATAGGCCATCCAGATGTCGTAAAAATTTCCAGCATTGTTTGATCAGCAGCAGAAAACTGCATAGAACAGGAAACTGATCTGCTGTGTTATTTAAAGTGAATGTTTCCCTGTCCTATGGGATATACATAAATTATATTATGCAGGGATGGGAAATGTTTCTTGAAAATGTACATTGTATGAGACAGAAGTTGTGTCTCGTACAACTCCAACCTGTCCTGCTTCCCTCTCCAACCTCTAAAGTAGTGTGCATCAAGAATTAAAGCAGTTTGACACAAGTTTTAGTGCCACGGCTCAATGCAATGGAATCATGGAAATTGTAGTTTTTAGTCTTTAGCCTTCTCTACCAAAGAGAACGATGCTTGCCAGCATTTCATAGCTTTGAGACATGGCCAATAAAGTGGTGCACCCTTCATCAGCCTCTTCACCACAAGAAGATTGTAAATCTAGGATCCAGTTGCACCATTTTAAAAAGAATATGTATCCATACTTCCGGCCCTTTGATATACCATATGTTGTCTTCATTTATGTGGGGAGATATATGTTCAGCAACTCCACATGTAGGATTACAAGGGATTCATTTCAGCTGGTGAGCATCACTGATGCAAACTGCTGAGATGAATATGGAGGACATCCTGTCCTCTGACTCCCTGTACTTCTTCGTCATCCTGAGGTGATGTAGTTCGATCTCAGCTGCAATGTATTATTAATGCAAAGTGTTGTCTTTTTAATCTTCTTTAAAAGAAGCAGTGATATGGTTGCTTCTTTATTATCTTCACCTGAACATCAATGGGTCAGTATGTTTCTGCGGACACTTTTGGTGTTTGATACCATTGCCCATGTAATCAATCTTGTGCTGGTCAGTGACCGTAATAAAGTTTTGTATTGTATTGTATGTAATTAATCTGGACTGCCTGAGGGGTTTGGGAATTGGGGACACTGTGCTTCAGTGGTTCTGGTTTCACCTCTCAGGTGGGCTTCAGATGGGGGGGTTCGAGTTCAGCTGCTCCTCAAGAAAGGAACCGTTATGTGGCATCCCACAAGACAAGGTGTCTTCTATCCCCAATGCTCTTTAACATCTACACAAAACCGCTAAGATGATCACCTGGAGGCATGGGGCATTTATCAGTATGTTGTTGACACCACAGGCCATTTCTAATTGGCACTTTATATTTTCTATTGCCGTATTTCAATCCTCCGCCTATAGAACGCCCTCCCTTGGGATATCAGATTGGTCACCTCCCTCTGGTCTTTTAGAAGGAAAATCAAGACCTGGTTATGGGACCAAGCATTTGATCAGTGAGCAGCAAGTAGAAGAAGATCACACAACTTATGGCAATGAATTGACCCAGACTGGTTTTTGGATTTCGATTTTAATGGATGTGTCTTAATTAATTGTTTTAATTGTTGTTTTAATTTTTAATATTTTGATTGTACTTTGGTTGTTTTTATGATGCTAGCATCGTATGATGCTTTTGTTAGGCCGCCCTGAGTCCCCCTTTGGAGGGAGAAGGGCAGGGTATAAATATAGGAAATAAATAAATAAATATTTCAATGTTATTCCTGGCCTTGATCCATAGAAAGTGGAAGAGGCATCCACATATTTCCTCTGAGACTGAGAGCAGGAGACTTCCAAGACCACCCAGTGGGTTTCCATGGCTGAGCAGGGATTCAAATCCTAATCTCCCAGAGTTGTGGGCCAACAAACAAATTATTATACCATGCTGACTTTAACCAAATGTGTAAAATGTCTTACCTTTTTACCCGTTTAATGTTTCTGTGAAACAGTTCTTTCATTCTTTCTTCTACCTTATTTAGAAGCTACAGGAGAGAAGTGCATTCGGTAAAGGTGGCTGCCTGGGAGTAGTGAATCTAAAATTCAATACTGGATCTTAATTTTGAATTATTTTATTTATTCAACCAACTTGTCTCTCTTACTTACATGGCAAAAATGGCTAACAGCATTAAGCTGCCCAAGAAATTATTAAGTAAATGTAGACATCTATATATTGAAACAAGGTGTGATTGGTAATATTTTCTTCTCTTATATGTCCATCTGTTAAGGAAATGAACCACGTCTTCAACAAGCAATTGCTGCTGTTACAATACATAAATTTCACATGTTCTTAGTCTCCTTTCTTTTTTATTATCTCATTTGCTTGCTATTTAGATTAGGTTGAGGAAGAAAGGAGAACCAAAAACCCCTCACAAAAACAAACAGATTGTGTACCTTAAAGCTACACACATTTATTATGACTTAAAACTCCCATGATCTAGTAACTTCTTCAAGGGATACATGAAGTGTGACATTTCTTCTTTTTTCATTTAGAGCAAGTGGACTCTTAGGGATCTACAATCTATGTTTTGCTGAATGTGTGAGCAAATGCAGAGTGTTTGGCAATTCTGTCATAGCCCAGATAAAATTAGTCACGTATTAATAATATTTATAAGTTACCATGTAAACATGTTCTCAGGACAGCATAGAAGATTAGTACAGTTTATGTTCTGCTTCTATTGACAAACGTTATTTCCAATTCCACTCCCATTTGTTTCATTTCAGAGGCTAAATAACGTGGGGGTTTTTCAAAAAATTAAAGCAAGCATCCAATTTGTTTCATTTCATTTCTGAAGTGAATATAGCAAGTAAGAAGTATTAGAACAAACAAGTTGATTCTAGAACATGAAAACTACAAACCTGGGGTTTGTGAGCATAGGGAGATGGCAAGCCTCCAATCCTAACTTGTATCTTGGTTACAAAACACGCCAAAATATGCAACCTTAGTTGATTTTGTTGGTTTCCTCCTTTTAACAAATCACAGCTGCATGACTTTGGGCATCCTAGCAAACTGTGACTAGAGTCAAACCTCCATATGTAGAGATTTAATATCCATGGAGTCAACAGTTCATGACTTAATTGTATTTAGTGGGTAAGATCCAAAAAACGAGCCCTGAAGTTGTCATTTTAAGTAAGGGACACCATTTATGATGTCACGGTATATACTGGAACATGAACATCCACAGATTTTGGTATACAGGAGCCTGTCCCAGTGTCTTCCTCATGCAGCAGGAAACCATTATTAACCCTCTGTAGCGAAAGCAAGTCCAATGCATTATACTGTGGTAATTTAAATCTGATTTCCTCACACCCAAATCTAACATATTAATGCTACTCCACAGTAGAAAAAGGACAAAATGAACACTACAGTTCAGTAAAATATATACATAAAAACAGAACCTAAGTTCTTTGCTTTTAGAAGTATTGCCCATATTTCTATAAAAATAATAGTATACCTACCTGACCTGCATCTTCTCCTCCATTCAAATCATTGTAGGTCTGTATATCCACCAACACCAAGCCATGAGGATAAATTCTCAGATTGGCAAAACTAGACAATTAGAATGAAAGAACATTCCTTTGACCTTGATGACAAATATTGATCACAACACCTTTCACAAATCACGGATACAATTTCAGCTTACCTGCCATTTTTATTGACATATGTGGCTAGGTAACCATGATCTTCCCAGTTATGAATAGTCTCTGTCATTCCCTGTTTTTGGAAGATGGACTGCAGACCTTTAAAAATAGCATTACAATCAGCTAGACAATGAAAAAGAAGAAAAAAAACACAACAGCAATTAATACACAGGCATCTGAATTGGCTCCCCCTAACTTTAATACTTCCATCACTGTCATCATGAGTCTAACATGAGAGTACCAGCAATGTGACAATCTATGTTTTGAACACATTTGACTTTTCATTCATAATGTTTTCCTAGGGCTAGAACATCAAAATAAATAAATTATTTTATGTTTAACATAAATTAGCACTGGAACTCCATGCTGGAAGAGGTAATCCTTCATGTGCATGTCATTCAGGCATCAGATAAAATATATCTGTCAGGGTTTAAGTGATTATATTTATGTGGGTTGTGGTTTAATTGTATTTTATAATTTATGGTTTGAAATTATTGTAATTTTCGACTTAAAACTGTGTTTTTATGTAGGCAGTTATATGTCCTGGATTCCTTTGAAAAAGGGATACAAATCAAATTGATGATGATAATTATAGCAGGCTAAAGCACAAACACAATTAAAATCTAACCCTTGCAAGTTTGCAGTATCCATTAAACACACAGTGCACACACCAAGGATTGTTCCAGTTTTCTGACATATGCACAAACAGTGGCAAATATCTGTCTAGATCAGCGTTTCTCAACCTGGGGGTTGGGACCCTGGGGGGGGGGGKCACCAGAGAACATAAGAAAAAACAATATTTTCTGTTGGTGATGGGGGTTCTGTGTAGCAAAATTACAGTTATGAAGTATCAACGAAAATAATGTTATGGTTGGGGGTCACCACAACATGAGGAACTGTATTAACGGGTCATGGCATTAGGAAGGTTGAGAACCACTGGTCAAGATCATGTTGAGCACTTAGTATCACCCTAGATATTGGATTGCAACTTCCATTGGTCCTAGCCAGTACAGCCAACAGTGAGGCATGAGATATTCCATTCAACTGCTTTGGAGAGTCAGAAAGTGCTCAGAGCATCAAGCAAAAGCTGCCTCATACCAAATCAGATTGGTAAATCAAACTCAGCACTATCTATGGTGGCTCTGACTCTTTAGGGTTTTACACATGGGCCTTGCTCAGTTTGATCTTTGGGATTTCCTGGGGTTTCCAAAATCAATCAATGTGCTCTATCGCCGAGCTATCAATTCTACAAAGGCTAATAAACAAAATATCATTGGCTTTCCATATCCGGATTCCACCATGCACAGCTTGAAAATATTCCCTGTCCAAATAATTCCAAAAAGCAACCTTGATTTTGCCATTTTATGTAACTGACACTATTTCACTCTGCCATTGTATATAATTAGACTTGAGCACGAAGTACTTTGGCTACATAATAAGAAGACAGGGCAGCTTAGAGAAGACAATGATGCTGGGGAAAATAGATGGGAAAAGGATGAGGAGCCGACCAAGGGCAAGATGGACAGATGGTATCCTTGAAGTGACTGGCTTGACTTTGAAGGAGCTGGGGGTGGTGACGGCCAACAAGGAGCTCTGGTGTAGGTTGGTCCATGAGACCCCGATGAGTTGGAAGCGACTGAACAAATAAACAACAACATATTTAGATTTAGTATCTATGGGATTCTGGAAACAGATTCCAGTGGATACCAAAGACTCATTGTATCTGAAGCAGAGCATCATATCTTCTACTTTAAAAACTCTATGCTTCTATTTTAAAGAAACCAATTGCTAAAAAACTAACTCTTCTGCAGTCCTGCTTGCTTCAGACCATAGTTTATACAGAAAATGAGAATTATGTGGCCCCTGCCCCAGCACCCCAACCAATATTCCCCAGCATGCTTAAATGCATTTGAAATTCTGTTTTGGAGCTCCATCATCCCCAAAATAACTCTCCGAAAAGCTGACCAGAATTAATGTGGTGTCAAAGTGGTAACTACACCTGCTTCTTGTGGCTAAAATGCAATGAGGCAGACCTCTTCATCTCTGGAGCATGCACAACTCTGGTTTATATGAAGGATGAAACATGTTTGGTCCCTCAGATCTATTGTACTCCGAATCCCTGAACTCCAACTGGTGATTGGGAGGGACTTCTGGGAAATGGAGGAAGAACTATTTGTTGGGCAAAGTTTTCTCACCACTAATTATGCACAAAAGATAAGCTAGTCCATTTGTAGCTAAGAGGCTGGTCACATCGAAGGGATGGCATTTACACAGCCCTCCAGATGATGGTAAACCGCAACCTCCAGCATTTCTCACTTCTGGAAATGCTGGCGAAGGCAGCACAGCTCAACATCTGCATGTCCACATTATTCCTGTCCCTTTTAAATGGCCTCATTTTCTGAAATTCTATTCAGTGACTAATTTGTGGTGGTGATGATGATGATAATACAAAGTAGTCTCCCTCAATCCCTACAGCTGTTGTTGAATCATATCTCTCTGATGTGGCCTCCAACTGCTTCCTTAGATTATGGAAGGCTGATATAGAGAAATGTGGACAAAGTTCGATAATTACATGGGAAGTAAAGCAGTACAACTGGGGGAAGAAAATATATTTTTATTACATATTACTGGTGGCCCAATAATTTGTATTGTATATGTGTTTTTATACTTTTAAACTGAATATTGTGATTTATGTAGTGTTGTAAACCGCATTGAGTCGCCGATTCAGGCTGAGAAATAGCGGTATACAAGCGCAGTAATAAATAAATAAATAAATAACCTGGGGAGCCAATGAATACAAAGTACAAAATTATAGGTAAAAATTAACTCTTACTCAGATAGATATCAGACCATTATGTTTCTAAAGCCATATAATCTTTTACTTGGTCATTAAACATAATCATAAATTGAGTCGCATGGAAGATTGGATTTTGTTTCACTATAGGCTGACTATTGTTGTTGTTGTTCATTCGTTCAGTCGTCTCCGACTCTTCGTGACCTCATGGACCAGCCCACGCCAGAGCTCCCTGTCGGCCGTTACCACCTCCAGCTCCCTCAAGGTCAGTCCAGTCACTTCAAGGATGCCATCCATCCATCTTGCCCTTGGTCGGCCCCTCTTCCTTTTGCCTTCCACTTTCCCCAGCATAATTGTCTTCTCTAGGCTTTCCTGTCTCCTCATGATGTGGCCAAAGTACTTCAACTTTGTCTCTAGTATCCTTCCCTCCAGTGAGCAGCCGGGCTTTATTTCCTGGAGGGTGGACTGGTTGGATCTTCTCGCAGTCCAAGGCACTCTCAGCACTTTCCTCCAACACCACAGCTCAAAAGCATCGATCTTCCTTCGCTCAGCCTTCCCTAAGGTCCAGCTCTCACATCCGTAGGTTACTACAGGGAGTACCATGGCTTTGACTAGGCGGATCTTTGTTGCCAGTCTGATGTCTCTACTCTTCACTATTTTATCGAGACTGGACATTGCTCTCCTCCCAAGAAGTAAGCGTCTTCTGATTTCCTGGCTATATTGACATTCTAATTACATTTTGGTGTGTTATTAATAATAATAAAAAAAACAAGCAGCTGAGAAATAGCTGCTTGTTCCACCACATTTCACGAATCTTGTTCAATGTCTTTTCAATAGAGGACAAACATTTATCCAAGGTGGATGTGCTTATCAACTAATTCTGAATAATGCCTATTGTGCATGCCTTCACATTATTTCAGACTTTTAGCAATCCTAAAATAGACCTAACATGGGGTTTTCTTGGCAAAATCTATTCAGAGAAGGTTTTTCCTGTCTTCCTCTAAACCTGAAAATATGACTTTCCAAGGCCACTCAATGGATTTCAATGGCTGAGATTTGAATCCTGACCTCCAGTCACTGCCCAATGCTCAAACCATTACGCTATGCTGACTCTCCTTTTTGAATAATAACAATGTCATCACTAAGGTTGGTGTCCCCCAGTGTGGTAATTCATAGTGTCACCCCCCTGGATCTCCTCCCATCCCAGACCACACCACAATGTGGTAGCCAAAATCCCAGCGCCAGTTCACTTCCCCTGTGAGAAAACCCCACCCAGGCCTCCACTTGCAGCACGCTTCTTCATGGAAAGTTCTTCCCAGTGTAGCATGGACAATCTCTGTCATCACAATGAATAGCAGGCTGAGAATGAAGACCCAGTTCATCCCACCTCCTCTGCCATTCGGGTGGAGCAATAAGAAACACCACCAGATAATCCATCCTCACTTCTAGTCCAAGACTATTCAAAGAGCAAACTCCCCACCAGCAGGTAACAAAAGGAAAGCAATGCGGCCAGGAATCAGCCCAGCAACTCTCATACCATATACATTTAGCTCACTTTGTACAAAGGTCTTTTGACTTTTCCTCAGCAGATAGAAAAATGCCTCATTCACAGTATGCACAAACATACCCTCTGATGGTATCACCCAATGTCATTGATGCCCCATTAGTGACGCCACTGAATATTAATCCTTATTTATTGCTTATTAGCAGATTATTGCTTGTAGCTTATTGCCTAACAGAATGGTTAGAAACCTTGAAACAAGCTATACAGAATAAGTATTTTTAAAATTATATAGGCAAATGGTTGAAGACTGCTGTTTCCATCACATGACTAGGCCTGGAGACAATCCATTTGCAAGTTCAAGTCTCAATAGAGTTTCAATAATTATAAGCGATTTCTCTCTCTTCAACTTTTTCTGCAAATGCTCAGTGCAACAATTTTCTTTGCATTTATTCTGAAACAGAACAAATTGAAATGTTATTCTTAAAAATGTGAACAGTGGGCAATCCACATTCATGCATTCCAGATTAGTGATTTCAATCAACCACAGACTATTATGCTACATTTTATTAAATGGCACTGTCATGAATGGAAATATACTGAAGTGTGCATGTTTATATTGCCACTTAATAATACGGGGCATGATGTTCTGCATTTTTTCATATCCACAGAGTTCCAGAAACAGCTTCCAGGGAAATGGTGGATCCATATATTCATATTTGTGGAGCCCCCAGTGCTGCAATAGGTTAAACCCTTGTGCCAGTGGGACTGCTGACCGAAAGGCCGGCGGTTCAAATCCGGGGAACAGGGTGAGTTCCAGCTTCCCAT